ATTCAGGGACGCACAGAGCTGGCAGAGAGGCTTTCAGGGACGCACAGAGCTGACAGTGAGGTGTTCTTTGACATGAGGCATTCAGGGACATGTTGGCATTATGGGATGATTTGTAATAGCTGCCCGAGGCGTCTGACGGGTTTTTGTTCAGACTCGATCTAAATTTGGAATGTAGAAAAACTGGCATCCTCACAGCGAGTTAAGACACGTCCGACCACACCTGAGCTCTGAGTGTACCTGAACTTAGTAGGGTTACAGCTTCAGAGTGAACACCTGGACAGGTGTGAAAGGTTTTACACATGCTGGAGTTTAAACTGACAAGTTAAATGTTTCAGCTGTCTATAGGTTAGGTTAGGTTTTATTGTCCCCGAGGGAACATTCTTTTCCACAGCACTGTACTTGTTGGACTCAGCATGAAAAACAATGACACACAAACACCAACACCATCAGAACACATCACACTAGCGAGCAGCACACAAAAAGCAACAACATACAGCATATAAACATGACACAATCAACGGGGCCTGTATAACCATGGTAACAATGTCTCTCACACCAAAGAAGAAGAGAACGGTCACAATAACGTAACGTAACATGTGTCTTCTTCATCTCTTCAGTGCTGAGGAGTGTAAACAGGTGTGTTGGGCCATCAGAGAGTTCACCAGACTGTTCCGATAGCTGCAACCTTCACACCACACCAGGTAACTATTCACACCACACCAGGTAACTATTCACACCACACCAGGTAACTGTTCACACAACACAAGGTAACTATTCACACCAGACCAGGTAACTATTCACAAACCAGAAGGTAACTATTCACACAACAGAAGGTAAGTATTCACACAACAGAAGGTAATTGTTCACACCACACCAGGTAACTGTTCACACAACACAAGGTAACTATTCACAAACCAGAAGGTAACTATTCACAAACCAGAAGGTAACTATTCACACAACAGAAGGTAACTATTCACACAACAGAAGGTAATTGTTCACACCACACCAGGTAACTATTCACACCACACCAGGTAACTATTCACAAACCAGAAGGTAAGTATTCACACAACAGAAGGTAAGTATTCACAAAACAGAAGGTAATTGTTCACATCACACCAGATAACTGTTCACACAACACAAGGTGACTATACATGCACAGGTAACTTTTCACACGTGTTTGTTGAACCAGACGTCTTTGATGCAGCTTCAGTAAAAACTTGGAGTGAATTTAACATCTGATAAAAATTCATCACTGAAACTTTGTGTCTCTGTCATAGTTCATCTTTTCTTTAATGTTAAATCGACTCATTATCGATCATCTCGTTATCAGTCGGCTTGTTTTCGATCGGCTCGTTATTGATCGGCTCATTATTGATCTGCTCGTTATAAATCGGCCCTCTTCAGAGGTCGATGATAAAAAATAAATTATGTGTTTGAAGCACAGAAGGATTCCTGAATCTTGTCCCGCCCACTCCGCACACTCTGCAACTGTAAACACAAATCTGTTTATAGAGACCAGCAGTGTGGGAACATGACGCGTAGTGAAGACGAACATTGTGCGAACGTGACACGTAGGGAAGACGAGCATGATGTGAACATGACGCGTAGTGAAGATGAGCAGTGTGTGAACATGACGCGTAGTGAAGAAGAGCATGGTGTGAACATGACGCGTAGTGAAGACGAGCATGGTGTGAACATGATGCGTAGTGAAGACGAGCATGGTGTGAACATGATGCGTAGTGAAGACGAGCATGGTGTGAACATGATGCGTAGTGAAGACGAGCATGGTGTGAACATGATGCGTAGTGAAGATGAGCAGCGGGTGAACATGATGAGTGGTGAAAACAAGCAGCGTGTGAACGTGACTTTGATCTGATTGGTCAGATCCTCGGTATGTGACATCATCATGTGTTTTCTTCTTCTGCAGGTTAAATCTTTTGTTGACCAACTTTCAGAGGTGACGGCAAAAAGCTGTGACGGCGGACGAGGATCCAAAGGGACGAGGTGGTGATGATGATGATGATGATGATAATGAAGGTGGGGGCGGGACTTTGAATGTGACGCGGGACGAATCGCTCTGAAGGACTGACAGAGTGAGGACTGATTGGACAGACTGAGTCCTCTAGCCCGACCCCCGACCACACCTGACCTCACCTGCAGCAGGTGTCAGGTGGGCGGGGTCGGGTCCGGCCGGTGGGCGGAGTCAGAAGTGAACTGATCTTCATCAGTAACCAATCGTAGGATGCGCCTGGCCAACAGTTTTTAAGAGAAGATTTATTTTTGGGACTTTGGTCGTGATGTTTTTTGTCCGTGCCAAATGAAGAGCCAGAAGATTTCCCATGATGCTCTTGGCTGAGCGGCGGCCCGTAGAGGCGGCGTGCTGGAGGATTTGGCGTCACCTTTGACCTTTTTAACTTTGGTTGACTTTTAGTTGTTTTTCCACAAAGTGAGACAGAGTGAACTCTGGGTAATGAGACAGAGGGACTGACACCATGACATCATCGGTGATGTAGCCTTGTTGTAAACAATAAAAACAAAAACAACTGAAACAACAAACACGTGTGTGCGCGTCAGTGTGTCAATGTGTTAGTGTGTGTGTGTGTGTGTGTGTGTGTGTGGTAGAGGAGGAGCTGTGAGGGTTCCTGTCAGTTGTCTCACCTTTGTTTCCAGGTGAGTTTCTGAGGCTGACGCTATGACATCACACCTTTACTCCGCCTTTACATGTTTATACAGGACCAAATAATAACATCATGTGGCTCCAGTGTGCGATGTCAGATAGCATGATGACAGCTGTTCTGCTTTGTCCACTGAACATGTCCTCACTGTCCTCTGAACATGCCCTCTGTACATGTCCTCTGTACATGTCCTCTGAACATGTCCTCAGTGTCCTCTGAACATGCCCTCACTGTCCTCTGAACATGCATTCTGAACATGCCCTCTGAACATGTCCTCACTGTCCTCTGAACATAGGGCATGTTCTGCAGACAGTGAGGACATGTTCAGAGGACATTCTCTGAACATGTCCTCACTGTCCTCTGAACATGCCCTCTGTACATGCCCTCTGAACATGTCCTCAGTGTCCTCTGAACATGCCCTCTGAACATGTCCTCACTGTCCTCTGTACATGTCCTCTGAACATGTCCTCTTAACATGTCCTCACTGTCCTCTGAACATGTCCTCTGAACATGTCCTCACTGTCCTCGGATCATGTCCTCACAGATTCTATCATGACACTGTTAATATTTATAAATCAATAAATAATCGATCAGTTTTTATTTTGATTCTTTTAAAGTTTAACTGTTGATTTTTTTCATTATTGATCAATCAGATTCTGAATCAATTGATTGATGAGTTTATTGGATTAATGACAAATGTTGACGGACAGAGTGAAACTCAGAGAGACTGAAGACAGTTTGTCTTTTGTTAGATATGACAGAATAAACACAGAGGAGCAACATCAGGAGGCAGAGACATTTACATCATTTCATGTCTGTATGATGAAGACGACTGTGATGAAGAGGACAGCTGTGATGAAGATGGCTGTGATGAAGACACCTGTGATGGAGACACCTGTGATGGAGACAACTGTGATGGAGACAACTGTGCTGAGGACAACTGTGATGAAGACGACTGTGATGAAGAGGACAGCTGTGATGAAGATGGCTGTGATGAAGACACCTGTGATGGAGACACCTGTGATGAAGACAGCTGTGATGAGGACAACTGTGATGAGGATGGCTGTGATGAAGACAACTGTGATGAGGACGGCTGTGATGAAGACGACTATGATGAAGACGTTCTGCTGAGGCGCAGACAAGGATGGAAGCTCCTTCAACATGTGATCAGGATCCACCAGGAGGAGCTGGAGGACGGAGTTGAGGGGACAGATGTCTCAGGAGGAGCTGGAAGATGGAGCGGGGGGGACAGATGTCTCAGGAGGAGCTGGAGGACGGAGACGGGGGGACAGATGTCTCAGGAGGAGCTGGAAGATGGAGACGGGGGGACAGATGTCTCAGGAGGAGCTGGAGGACGGAGACGGGGGGACAGATGTCTCAGGAGGAGCTGGAGGACGGAGACGGGGGGGGACAGATGTCTCAGGAGGAGCCAGACAGAAATGTCCTCTGATCATCACAGTTTGTGACCACATGAGGGCGCCACCACCAAACCTACAGACTCATCCTGTCACATGTCCCCCACGTCCAAATGTCCCCATGTCCTCTTATCATAGCTCAGTCCTCACAAACTCAGTCACTGATCTGTTAATTAATAAAGTTTCACTGATTCAAACTGACAAAGAACAAAGTTACAAGTTAGAGACACTTCATCACTTCATCAGTTCATCTCATCAGCCAGTAGTTAACCATGTAAATCTCTAGTTAATAAACAGTGAGGCAGAGGTAAATCAATGATCAATAATAATCAATAAATAGTAATAATCAATAAATATTAATTATCAGATCAGAACATTGTTTTGAGTGTTTGGTGTTTTGTTTTTTTTCTCTGTGAAAATGAAAGTGTGTGATTTCCGGGTTTGGGCGGAAGTCAGGGCGGAACCTCCTGTAAACGCCTGCACTCAGACAGAACAAACCGGAAACTTCCTGACTCACCTTCACAATAAAAGACTGGAGAGGTCGCTTTTATTTATTTATTTATTTATTTATTTAATAAACCGATTTTTATTATTTACTACAAAATAAAAGCTGCGATCTGTAACAACATTAAAACATCCCATAATATAAAGAAACATTTCATTGAGCTGCTTTTAATGTGAAATAAACATAAAATATCACAGTAAAAATATTAATTATTGTGGGTGCAAACAGGAAGTTTAACTGCAAGAACTTCTTGCTATCCTGTGTTTGTTTACATCAACACGAAGGTAAACACAGTTTGTTTGTTTGTTTGTTTGTTTGTTTCTAATAGATTTTATTTCTTCAGTCACGGCTGACTTTTATTTTGACGGTCGACCGGAAGTAGTCGTCGTCACTGTGTGGTATTGATTATGATCTGAGTTCAGTTTGAAGTTTTGTGAGCAGCGGGTAATTGTTTGTTTCGGCCGCCGATTCTTGGTTTGTTTGTTTGTTTGTTAACGTCATTGCGGCGCCGCGGAGGATTAACGGTGAGCACGCGGCTGTATAACGACTGACGGAGCGGAAAGACACCAGCGGGACCGGAAACACGACCGGAACCGGGACCAAGTGAGTCCGTCACCAACACACACACACACACATACACACGTTAGTGTTCGGACGGTCACGTCTTTGACGTCATGAAAACGTTAATGAAGGTTTTATTAAATAAAGTTTGTAGAAAGTGTTTAAATCTGAGCTCTGATCACATGACTCAGACTCTGTCACTTCCTGTATCGTTTCAGGAACAGAAATCTGATCTGAGGTCAGCTGACCAACGATCACTTCACTGTCGGCTTGTCGACTCAGGTTAAACTTTTACTTTGAAAAGATCAAAGATTCTGTGACAACGTGTGTCATCACTTCCAGGTGAAGTCACATAGTTTCCTCCTCCCACAGCTCCCAGTGCTCCCAGTATGAGCGTCCAGCCCCGCAGGATCCGTCTGAAGCCCTGGTTGTTGGCTCAGGTGAACAGTGGCAGGTATCCTGGTCTCCAGTGGCTCAGTCCGGATCACCGCCTCTTCCAGATCCCCTGGAAACATGCCACACGCCACACACCATCATCAGATGAGGAAAACACCATCTTTAAGGTCTGAATACACCACAGACAGCTGAACACAACACGCTATCTTCAGACACCTGAACACAACACACCATCATCAGACAACTGAACACAACACGTCATCATCAGACAACTGAACACAACACGTCATCATCAGACAACTGAACACAACACGTCATCATCAGACACCTGAACACATCACGTTATCTTCAGACACCAGAACACAACACGCCATCATCAGACACCTGAACACATCACGTTATCTTCAGACACCAGAACACAACACGCCATCATCAGACACCTGAACACATCACGTTATCTTCAGACACCTGAACACAACACACCATCATCAGACAACTGAACACAACACGTCATCATCAGACACCTGAACACAACACGCCATCATCAGACACCTGAACACAACACGCCATCATCAGACACCTGAACACAACACGCCATCATCAGACACCTGAACACAACACGCCATCATCAGACACCTGAACACAACACGCCATCATCAGACACCTGAACACAACACGCCATCATCAGACACCTGAACACAACACGCCATCATCAGACACCTGAACACAACACGCCATCATCAGACACCTGAACACAACACGCCATCATCAGACACCTGAACACAACACGCCATCATCAGACACCTGAACACAACACGCCATCATCAGACACCTGAACACAACACGCCATCATCAGACACCTGAACACAACACGCCATCATCAGACACCTGAACACAACACGCCATCATCAGACACCTGAACACAACACGCCATCATCAGACACCTGAACACAACACGCCATCATCAGACACCTGAACACAACACGCCATCATCAGACACCTGAACACAACACGCCATCATCAGACACCTGAACACAACACGCCATCATCAGACACCTGAACACAACACGCCATCATCAGACACCTGAACACAACACGCCATCATCAGACACCTGAACACAACACACCATCATCAGACACCTGAACACAACACACCATCATCAGACACCTGAACACAACACACCATCATCAGACACCTGAACACAACACACCATCATCAGACACCTGAACACAACACACCATCATCAGACACCTGAACACAACATGCCATCATCAGACACCTGAACACAACATGCCATCATCAGACACCTGAACACAACACACCGCCATCAGACACCTGAACACAACACATCGCCATCAGACACCTGAACACAACATGCCATCATCAGACACCTGAACACAACACACCGCCATCAGACACCTGAACACAACACGGCATCATCAGACACCTGAACACAGCACACCATCATCAGACACCTGAACACAACACGCCGCCTGACAGTCTTTTTGTTCAGACGAGTTTCTCCAGTGTAAAACATGACCTGCTGATGTCACTTCCTCTTTCAGTGGTCACTGCTTCTGCTTCAGTGTTTCCTGTTAGTGACATCACAGCAGCGTCCGACTCCACACTGTAAAAAGTTTTAACGAACTCTTCTTCACTTGTTTGATCATCTTCACTTCTTCTTCTTCTCTTCTTCCTCCCTGAGTCACATGACATCATCTCCGAACAGCAGCTGTTAGCTCAGCTTAGCATAAACAAACTACAGGTGCATGTAAACCCTTCTCTGTGTCGTACAGGCAGTTTGTAGTGTAAGACGGGGAATGTAAACCCTTCTCTGTGTCGTACAGGCAGTTTGTAGTGTAAGACGGGGAATGTAAACCCTTCTCTGTGTCGTACAGGCAGTTTGTAGTGTAAGACGGGGAATGTAAACCCTTCTCTGTGTCTTACAGGCAGTTTGTAGTGTAAGGCGGGGAATGTAAACCCTTCTCTGTGTCTTACAGGCAGTTTGTAGTGTAAGGTCGTGAATGTAAACCCTTCTCTGCGTCTTACAGGCAGTTTGTAATGTAAAAGGTGTGTGTAAACCCTTCCATGTGTCTTACAGGCGTGGGCTCTGGAGACAGGTAAATATCAGGAAGGCGTGGACGAACCCGACCCTGCCAAGTGGAAAGCAAACCTTCGCTGCGCTCTAAACAAAAGTCGAGAGTTTCAGCTAAAGTACGACGGCACCAAAGAAACTCCGGTGCAGCCGTACAAAATCTACGAGGTGTGTGAGCAGAGCGGGAACATAGGTGAGCATGCTCACTCTGAGGTAATGATGTCATCATGTTGTCATCATAGAATAAAGAACCAGATGAAACCTGAGTCTAGGTGTGTCAGGTGTCTGATGTCATTTATCTTATGTCGCACCTTTACAATTCTCCTCTGCTCTCTGTATCGTGCACGGTGGAGTTTGGTCCCGATGCGCGCGCACACACACTTTTTCGTGACCAAACCTGACCCAAGTCCGAGACAATTATAACCGAACCCCACCCAAACCCGACAGACTTTCTGATTTTTAAGTCCGAACTCGACCCGAGCCCAACGCAGTTTGTTACCTGACAGTTATTGTTATGGACAGTGTGTAAATGACCATTAAAACACTGCTGTTACTCACAGTCAAAAACGGCACTCGCACAGCAGCGTAGCATGGCACTGTACACAGGGATGGGCAGTATTTCTATTACTTGTATGTAAAATTTGTATTTAAATTACATTTGAGTATTTTGTAATTTGTATTTGAAATGGCCGATAAAAAGCAAATCTAATTTGTAACAAAATACTTTTGAGTTTCTCCACGAATCAAAAAACAAAAATAGCAGGCTACATATTCTTATAATATTGGATGTAACAGTATTTTTTACTTATCTTTTTTTTTGTTTCACTGGACTGTGCATAACATAGGAAATTGTATGTTGTTGTGGTTGATGCTTGGGATGAGTATGCTACAAATGAATTGTCTCACGTGGGATCAATGAAGTTGTCTGAATCTAAATCTGAATCAGTAAATAATATTTTAGGGTAGCCTACATGTCCCTAGCTTTTTTTCTCTTCTTCATTTGAAAAAAGTTGAACACATGGCTCCAAGTTAGACAGCAAACAAGTGAACTAGCTACAGTAGCTACAGTATCTTGTTGCTGTTTAGCTCGACCGTTGGTGGACAGTTCACAGCACAGCTAGACTAGACTTGCCAGGCATGCTGCTCACGTGGATGGACCCACACTACCAGTAGACTACCTTGCTGCTCACGTCTTCCAAGTTCAACATGTTGTCTGTCAAGGTACATATTTTATCTGAGTGCGGCAGATGTCAACTGGCTTGATGTATGATTTATGTCTGGGTCTGGCTACATAGCCTATTGTATAAATACATGGCGATGATAGTTATAATATCAAGCTAGCGCTGCTTATGTTAACTGTCTTATTAACTGTGTATATCCTATAGCCCAAACCTGAATACTCTGCTACACCAAATTATGAGAAAACAAGCACAAATTTGCAATTGCTGCGACCAAATTTGCTACTGTCACACCATTAATAGATGAATCATGGTTGTTCTTTCTGGCATAGTTACTTGTGGTCTCTAATTGCAGCATGTCAATTTTGAGCATTCTTGGTCGAGGACTTTTTGAGTTATTCACAAAAAGATTTGAATCGGTTAGTATAGCGCCACCTATGGACGAATCATGGGCATTCTTCCTTGTATAGTTACTCATGGTCTCTAATTGCAGTATGCAAATGTTGAGCATTTTTGGTCAAGGACTTTTTGAGTTATTCACGAAAAGCTTTGTGGACCAACCGACTGACAGAATGACCTATAGAGCTGCGGGTTGCTGCTAAAAAGAAAAAGAAAAAAGTATTTTTTGTATTTGAAAATACAAAATACATGTATTTTATTTTGATACATTTTCTGGCACCAGTAATTGGAGCGGAGCCTGTGTTGCATCAGGCGTTGTCACTTAAATAATAACACCACCACCCCCCACCCCCCCCCACCCCACCCCCAAGGCTGTAAACCATGGGGAAATACTGATGATGATGACGATGACAATGATGATATGTATTTACTAAAGGTTTCTATCTTTAATGTTTTGCTTCCTGTTTCAGACGCTGGTGATGATGATGATGAAGAGGTGAGGAACAAATGTGTCACAGGTACAAACACACTTCACTCGTCGATCAGCTGACTGACAACAACAATCTGTTCTTTTCTCAGATGCCGAACCTGATGGACCTCAGCATTAGTAAGTCTTCATCGTCTCCATGGAAACACCATAGCATCCAAAAAATTCTGCTCATCAGAGACACGACGCACACAAACACACACACACATACACTATAGTCTGAAGGATCTAGAACCCATGGTGGTCTGAAAGGATTTAGAACCCATGGTGGTCTGAAAAGAACTAGAACCCATTGTAGTTTGAAGGATCTAGAATCCATGGTGGTCTGAAAGAACTAAAACCCATTGTAGTCTGAAGGCTCTAGATCCCATTGTAGTGTGAAGGATCTAGTACCCATTGTAGTCTGAAGGTTCTAGAACCCATGGTGGTCTGAAGGATCTAGAACCCATGGTGGACTGAAGGATCTAGAACCCATGGTAGTCTGAGGGATCTAGAACCCATGGTGGTCTGAAGGATTCAGAACCTATTAAAGTCTGAAGGATCTAGAACCCATTAAAGTCTGAAGGATCTAGAAGCAATGGTAATCTGAAGGAACTAGAATCCAGAAGTGTCAAGGATCTAGAACCCATGGTAGTCTTAAGGCTCTAGAACCCATTATAGTCTTAGGGCTTTAGAGCCCATGGTAATCTGTAAATTCCAGAACCCATTGTAGTCTAGAGTCTACGATCTAGAGGCCATGGTAGTTTGAAGGATCTAGAACCTATGGTAGTCTGAAGGATCTAGAACCCATGGTAGTCTGAAAGATCTAGAACCCATTGCAGTCTGAAGGATCGAGAACCCATTGTGGTGTGAAGGCTTTAGAACCTATTGTAGTCTGAAGTACCTAGAGGCCATCATAGTCTGAAGGATCTAGAACCCATGGTGGTCCTGAGGATGTAGTCGCCATGGTGGTCTGAAGGATCTAGAACCCATGGTAGTCTGAGGGATCTAGAACCCATGGTGGTCTGAAGGGTATAGAACCCATGATGGTCTGAAGGATCTAGACCCCTGGTTGTCTGAAGGATCTCCAACCCATGGTAGTCTGAAGGATAGTAGCTCAGTCCATAGGGACTTGGGTTGGGAACCAGAGGGTCGCCTGTTCAAGTCCCCGTCTGGACCAAAATATGGAGCGTGGACTGGTAGCTGGAGAGGTGCCAGTTCACATCCTGGGCACTGCCGAGGTGCCCTTGAGCAAGGCACCGAACCCCCCAACCGCTCGGAGCGCCTGTCATGGGCAGCCCACTCTGACATCTCTCCACTTAGTGCATGTATAGGTCCAGTTTGTGCGTGTGTTTGGACCTGTGTGTAATTGACAAACAGAGTGAAAAATTGAATTTCCCCTCGGGGATTAATAAAGTATATAAATTTAAATTAAATTAAATTAAATTAAATCGTGGCTATGGTGGTCTGAAAGGATCTAGACGCCTTGGTAGTCTGAAGGACCTAGAATCCGTTGTAGTCTGAAGGATCTAGAGGCCACTTTAATCTGAAGGGTCCAGAACCCATGGTGGTCTGAAGGATCTAGAACCCATGGTGGTCTGAAGGATCTAGAACCCATGGTAATCTAAAGGACCTAGAACCAGGGCTTAAAATTATCTTTTTACCTCACCTGCCATTGACTAGTGACCTCCAAAAATTTACCAGCCAAAAATATTTTTCACCGGCCAAATAAAAAAATCATGCCTTATTTGATTTAAAATAATTACTATAAGTTTTTATTATGAAAATCCAACTTAAGCATCACTTAAAAAATACAGTTATGTACAGATACAATTAGATTATTGCTATTTTATTATGTTATATTTAATTTCAAGGTGACTGCTGCATCATCATGTATTAAAAATATTCAAAAGTGCAAGCTTTTACATTGACTGAGTAAGCCAAATGTCTGTCCCACAGCTTTAACAGGAACGTTCCGTTTAACCCGCAGGAAAAGGGAAAAGAATGAAAAAAACAAACAACTGGGATTGAATCTAAATGAAATGAACTCCACAGACCATAGATATTTTTCTAGAATGCTATATGAATACAAGTGCATTTGCATCTGCCTTTTTTTTTTAAGGTAGGCCTCCTCAACTCTACTGTCCTTGTGGCTCAGGTAATCACCACATCATCAGTCTCAGAGTCAGACATGTCTGAGTCTGTGTCAGCACCCTGCTTAGAACAATCCTTAAAATTAGGCCTCCGACCTCTTATGCAGTCAGTGTGCCACAACTCGAGAGCAGCACTGGGATCAAACTCAGAAATGGATGGAGATGAGAGCTGCATAAGCAGAAGGTCAGACAGTGTGTCTGCCTTTAAGCTTGACCGCCAGTCTGATTTCACCATTTTCATGATGTTAAAGCCCCTCTCGCAGTCGGTGGTTGATGCAGGGATGGTGAGGATGAGGTCTGTCGGTTCCAGGACGTTAGGACAGGTGTCCCTATGAAGCTGGTTGACATCCTCCCAGGTCAGGGTTGTCAGCAGCTGTGGCTCAAGGTAAAGTCTGGCTTTGAGCAGGGTCCACTCATCGGGGATGTGTTCAGGAGACGATAGAACAGGGAAGAAGAGGTCAGAAAGCACATAAATTTGTGCATCACCAAAATCTGAAAGATATGAAAAGGTAATGTTTTAGAACTTTGTTACATACTGGCAGTGATGTCTTAATAGACTTAGTTGTTCTGTCCACTGAGCTTGATCTGATGAACCCACCTGCTTCACCCTCTCTTGACTGTGGCCAGTTCCTGAAATTGACCAGATTTGTTGCCATCAAAACATCTGAGCTGCCATCCTTGAACCTGTCCCTGATGCTCTCAATAAGCCTGTCCAGCAGCTGCTCCTGACATGAGATGAGGAACCTATCTTCACCTTCCTGACCCCTGGACCTGGCACTTCCACTTATCAGGGAAACTCCCTTGAACACTCCGTCATGGGTGGCTTTCATCATTGGTCCTGCTCTGATGATTCAAAATCCCACTTCACTATACTACACTTTTTCCTTACTACACTACACAAATGTATCTAGTATTTATTTGCACACTGAGCAAAACATTATCATAAAAAAAGCCATACCTGGTCTTGTAATTCTCCAATACAGCATGTGTGGAGCTCAGACAACTGTGGGCGTCAGCGATGGAGATGTCCGACTTCTGCAGAGTCTCTGATACTCTGCTGAGATGGCTCAGTGTGTCATGTAGGAACCCACTGAATCTAAGCACAACAGCTTCCTTGGCAGTTGCACTGAAGCTCTTCGCTTTGCACTGCTGCACAGCACTTAACACCTTGAACATCTGGGGATGTGATCTGAAATTGCAGATGTGCAGGCACACACAAATGGTCAGTCTAATGAGTTCAAATCCCATGGCAAAATGTGATTTTGTTTGTTTATCTTTGTTATTTTGTTGCTAATGAAAATATCACACAACTACAGAGTAACTAGTTATTCAATACTTTGTGTAAATGTTAATATGCCAGTGTGAGTGAGTGAGTGTGTTTGTGTGTGAGAGAGAGAGAGAGAGAGAGTGTGACAGAGAGAGGTTTTCATCAACATTTTGAAATATGAGCCTTACCTGGTTTAAGTGATGCATTATGGCAGGGTAGCCTCTCAGGAAGTGGTCAATGGCACGTAGGAGGTGGGCCACCCACCTTGTGCCACCGACTCTTGTGGGCATGATAGGTGCCAATTCCAGTGCTGCAAAGCTGTTCTTGAGGTGAGAGCGATTTAAGGGACTAACATGGTAGAAAGTGTACAGGCCTGTGAGGAGCTCTTCTACTTTTTTGAAAAGGACTATGTTTTTTACCGAATCTTTAAAGCTTAGCTCCAACCTGTGCGCCATACAGTGTACTCCAACTAGATATGGTCTGTCTCTCCTCAGATGCTGGACCACCCCTGTCCTCGCTCCAACCATCACTGCAGCTCCATCAGTGGCTACTGCCACAAGCTTAACTTCCCACTGTTGACTGACTTTATCCATGACATCTTTGATGGCCTTTGTTATGTTTTCTGCATCTGCCTTGTCAACTGCATCAATCCCAACAAATTTGGACTCAATTTTTCCCCCCACACTGCTTCTAACATAGACCATCTCCTGCTCCTTCACAGCACTATCTGTTGAGTCATCACTCATTATACTAATAAATTTCACCCTCCCCAATCTGTCTTCAATTTTTTTTCTTTCCATGTCTGCTATATAATGGAGGAACACTCTTGCCTCTACTTTATTCCTATAGGTTTTCCCTACTGGCAGCTCTTTCATCTCATCCAGCCTAAAAAGATAAGAAGAGAAAAATATTATAATTAGAGTGGACAAAGTGAATGTCACCTGAATATCTAATGCAAATGATGCGGTCTAAAATCACATGTATCACATGGACCGGTCCAGATACCCCAGATCTGGTGCCGGTTACACAAACATTGCTCAAACTGTAGCTCAGGACTGCTACTGTGTGCGACTGAGTGTAACGTTGCATATTACTGAACGTTAGCGTTCATAAGGTAACGTAAACAGGAGACAGTAGCCGACGAAAAGCGTCATTGACGTTTACGTTACGTTAACTAATATACAACAGTTCCCACAAATTTTACAGTGACTTAAGAGTTAAAACACTTACTCGCAGATCCACTTGAAGTCGGCCATCGGCCTTCCCTTCTTTGCCAATGCGTGTATGGTCCTGAACATGGTGAAAAGTTTTCGTTTTGTTGGGTCTGGTATAGCTGTCACTGACTTGATGACACGGGTTGTGCTCACAGGCTGCGAGGTTTTTAAGCTGTCACTGTGGCATTTTGACTTTTCATGGTCCTTAATACTTTCCAATTTCATGTTTGTTGTGCCAAGAACGAATGGGTTTTGCTTCTGTTTATCCTTCATGTATTTGTAGCAAAGCCTGCAGCTCATGTTGTGGTTTTTCGGGTCGTAAGTCAGCCAGGACCGAGGTTGGCCAGCCTCATCAACTTTCCAGTTTTCTTTGAAATGTCGTGTAGTGACATTACTCCGTTTTGCTGTCTGTTCCTCTTCTTGATCGTCTCCTACCTCTTTGTTTATCCTTTTTGTTTGTGGTGGCTTCACGCCGGGAATGTGTCGCCACATCTTCCTCAATACGCTTTTCCCGCTGTGCTTCTTCAAACAAAGGGAATGAATGGAACTCCAGCTGACGTCACGCCGTTCCCGGCGTACCAAATCACAACACAAGTACAGCGTGCCGCGAGGGTCAAAATAGCCTGACAGTCAGCAGAAATGGTCGAAAGTATGAAAACAAAAACTCACATGCAATTCAAAATTTTCCATCGGCCACTGGCGGGCGTGTGTTTTTGTTTTACACGCCAAACTAATTTTTTACCCGCCATTGGCGCTTGGCGGGTGTTAATTTTACGCTCTGCCTAGAACCCATTGTGGCTGAAGGATCTAAAACCCATGGTAGTCTGTAAGTTCCAGAAACCCATTGTAGTCTGAAGGATGTAGAACTCATGGTAGTCTGAAGGATCTAGAGCCTGTACTAGTCTGAAGGCTATAGAACCCATGGTAGTCTGAAGGACCTAGAGGCCACTGTAGTCTGAAGGATCTAGAACTCATTGTAGTGAGAAGGCTCCAGAACTCATTGTACTCTGAAGGATGTAGACGCCATGGTAGTCTGAAGGATCGAGAACCCTTTGTTGTCTGAAGACTCTAGTAGTCTGACAGATCTAGAACCCATGACAGTCTGAAGGCTCTAGAATCCATTGTAGTCTGATGGCCTTAGAACCCATAGTGGTCTGAAGTATCTAGAACCCATGGTAGTCTGAAGGCTCTAGAACCCATTGTAGTCTGAAGGATCTAGAACCCATGGTACTCTGAATGACTTAGAGCCAATGGTAGTTCAGCAGGCAGATGGCAATGTGAGTTGTATTGCAGAAATGGGAGTGTGTGTCGATGTGAAGGAGTAGACAAGGCTGATGGAGAAGATGTCATGTGATGATGTAATATGATGATGTCATCTCTCTTCAGACCCCAGGACCAGTGACTCCGCCTCCTTCAACTCCTTTCCACCTCATTCAGATGTGGACCACTTCAGTATGTCCTCCAACGGGTCATTTGGACTTCCACATGTGATCCCAGTACCTCTCCTCCCCGACAGAGGCCTCCCCATGAACTCTGACCTCCAGGCTCAGAGTGGGATGGTGGATCAGGGGAGCTTCGTCCATCCTGTAGGACACCCTAATGGACTCCAGGACCTGAGTTCTCTCCCCCCTTCAGCTGCCTCTGGTCCCCCCCAGCCGGCTTCAATGGAGGCCAGCAGCATGGGGGACGTCCAGAACCAGGGGGACCCTCAGAACCACCAACCCTGCAAGTACGACCTGCTGAGCAGCGTCCCACGTGAGTATGACCTCCGACCTCTGAGGTTCTGGTTTTACCAGCAAGAAAACAGGAAGTCAATCAGAGCCAGCGGTCCAGTAGACCAAGAGACCAGTAGACCAGGAGTGCAGTTTGTGCTCTGTGGTCTTTCACCGTGTTCTGTCGCTGAGCTGCAGTGGAGCGGAAGAACCAATCTGAACTGAACTTTAGACCAACAGTATGAACTTTGTATCACCATAGTAACACATAGAATAACTTTGTGTCACTGTGGTAACTCATGTAATAATTGTGTGTTGCCATAGTAACAGATCTGGACCTGAAGTTCCAGTACCGGGGCCGGACGATGGGCTCCCTCACCGTCAGTAACCCTCAGGGCTGCCGGTTGTACTACGGACACCTGGAGCCAACCCCGGAGCAGGTGGACCTGTTCGGACCCGTCACCCTGCAGCAGGTCCGGTTCCCGGGGACATCTGAGATCCAGAACCAGAAGCAAAGGTTCTACACTGAGGCCCTGCTGGATGTGATGGACCGCGGCCTGATCCTAGAGATCTGGGAGCAGGACATCTACGCCGTCCGCCTCTGTCAGTGCAAGGTTTTCTGGTCTGGACTGGGCATGCCCGAACAAGGTCCGCCTAACCCCATGGAGAGGGAGAAGAAGATCAAAGTGTTCAGCCTCAACAACTTCCTGCAAGGTGACCAATCCCGAGCAATACGAGAACTGTCTTGTTTCTGACAGGTGGAGTCAGGTGTTAAATTCTGTCTCTCTGTCCACAGGTCTGATTTCGTTCCAGAAAGGTGAAGCTCAAAACCCTCCACCCTTCGAGGTCTACTTCTGCTTCGGGGAGGACTGGCCCGACAAGAAACCCAAAGAGAAGAAGCTCATCATCGTCCAGGTCAGTGTGATGTCATGTGACAGTCGTCCACTAGAGGGCGCCCAAACTGATCCGCTGTCCAGATTCACTGTGATGTTTATTTTTACCTTCTACTACATTAGAGGTCTGAGATCTGAGGTCTGAGGACTGAGATGTGAGGTCTGAGATCTGGACTATGATCAGGATGTGGGGTTAGGAGGTAACTTAAAGGTGAACTCAGGGATAAATCACTGTGTTGACTGACGCTGACCTGCTGTAATCAGATTACAGATACTGTCATGTAAGCGGAGCATTAACAGAGGTGACTGAAGCTCTGTGACAGCGTTCAGACGGACGGTGTGACAGTCAGTCATCAGTGACACATCAGAACCATCAGATCCTTGATCAGTTCGTAGTTCAAGCCTTAGGACATACCTGCAGGATTTATGACATCACAGCTAGTCTGGAGCCAGTCAGGGTCCAGTATGAAGCTGGCACAGTGTGAGGTCATCAGTTAAACTTTTCACAGACCCTGGAATTTTAACTGAATCTGGATTCAGGTTACGTCCATGTTCTGAAGGTCCGGCAGGTTCCTGTCCTGGCTCTCATGACCTGGTTCTTGGGACCTGGTTCTCATCAGCTGTTTCAGTAACCGGCTCATGTTCTCAGAATCTTTTCTTTATTGTGTCCAACCTGCTGGAACCAGAAATGGAGGTCAGAGGATGGTTTCAACTCGTCTCTCAGAGCGGGTTCTCTCCCTGAGTGATGTAAGCGTGCAGTGATTGGTCCAACACGTGAACCAACGCAGCTCCACCAACCGTCATTTTTAAAAACTTGTCAACCATGTAAACAACAGACAGACAACTGGTAACGAAAAACAAAGTGGTGACTTTAAGTGTTTGTTTGTTCTCAGGAGAACTGACAGAACCGTTCTGTCCCCAAACTCCTGCTGTCCAGTTCTGACCTGGTTCTCTTTGTGATTCTGGTCGTCTGGTTGTAACGTGGTACTTGTGGTCCTGGTATTCCTCAGGTGGTCCCCGTGGTGGCTCGGATCCTGACAGAGATGTTCTCAGGAGAACTCAGCTGGTCTACCGACAGCATCCGTCTGCAGATCTCGAACCCGGATGTGAAGGACCAGACGGTGGAGCAGTTCAAAGAGCTTCAGAGGCTCCTGCAGAGCCAACACATCCAGGGGCCCTGGACCCCTAACGTCCCCTGAAAACCCGGGAGACGGACAGGGGGGATGGACAGTGGAAGGCTGTCCTGCCTCATCCTCATCATCATCATCATCATCATCATTTAAACCAGCTCACGTCAGAACATTTCGCCCTGTCAGACTGATCTCTGGTCAGAAAACTGACCTGAGCTCAGTTTAACAGGAAGTGAAAAAGGACAACTTCCCTTTTTTCAATTTGACTCATGTCCATGTAAACTGTCCACAAGCACACTCTAAAAAATAAAGAACCAAACTGTCCACACCCACACTGTAAAAAATTACTACCACTGATTGAGTGGGCAACTTTGACCTGAATGTCTACTGCATGTTTGGTATTTTGTCGATGTCATGTGACCACCTGGACAACGTTTACCTGGCCGTTATTAATACTTCTTTGATCAAAACAAACAAACCTGTGAAACGATCAGTGACCACAAACTGCTGTAGAACATTTCAGTGACTCTGTTTTTAGGATGTCAATAAACACCACTGCAGTATTCATTCATTCATTCATTCATTCATATGTGTGCTGTCGTCCTTACATCTCTAACAGGAATTACACACCAAGAAGTACACACTGTTACACAGTATTAGACAAAAATACACAAACACTTCAATCCAGGGTTTCTTTAAGCACACTTCAGGGCCCTATTTCATAGAGCAGGCTCAACAAACTCTGAGCCTGATCCTGATCTCCAGGGGCCTGTTGCACAAAAGTATGATTCAGACATCCAGGATAAATGACTGAGCTGGGTTCAATGAATCCAAAAAAGAGCGTCCAGGCTTAATTGGTTGCACAAAGACCAAGCCAGGATGAGCAGACACGGTTTCATCAAGCCAGGTGAAACCAATCCTGGATCAGTGCGCGCATGCGGCTTCCTCAAATAGACCCCGCCATCGAGCACAGATTCACTGATTCACCATGGCAACAAGAGCGGCGTACTTTTCCCCGTCAGAGGCAGAAATCCTCATGGAGGCTCACGAAGAGGTAAAGGATCAAATCAAAAAGAAAGGCAACACCGCCGCAGTTATAAAACAACGAGATGAGCTCACTGACTTAGCCTAATTGAATTTCCCTTTGGGATAAATAAAGTTCCTCTTATCTCATCTTATCTTATGTTTGCTCCTCATTCTCCATGCTCCTCTGCTGTTTCATTATATGTATGCAAGTGTGTGTGTGTGTGTGTGTGTGTGTGTGTATGCTGATTGATCATAAGAATATATATATATTTGTGTATGTGTGTACAGATTAAACATGACTGGGCCAAAACGGACATGGCAGCAAGTCAAGATTAAATATAAGAACATCCTGCAGAATGGTAAGTGCCCTGACTAATACTTAACAATGCACAAGTGTACATTGTACCCAGAAGGTGCCTGCTCACACATTGTCTGTACTGTTTTAGCTGTCAAAAAAAAAACCCACAAGCAAGGCACAGGTGGTGGGTCACCATCAGCTGACCTCACCCCAGCAGAGGACATAGCCTTTGCACAAAACAAAGGCAGGCCTGTGTTGGAGGGGATCCCTGGGGGGACAGACACAAACAGGGGCGAAAATCCCATTTCATAGTTGGGGGGGACAATAAACAGTAAAATTTTAGAGAATAATTCCAGGGGGGGACAAGGAAAAAAAATTGTAGACTGTCTTTTATACAGCATCTTTTACCGCAATTTGACGCTTTAATATTCTCTCTATCTCTCCAACAGGCAGAGTGAATATCTATACTTATGAGAAATGGCTTAACAACTAAACATTTCCTGCAATTAAACTGGTAAACTGGTTTATAAACAGTGTGCTGTGAGATCTGCCTCTGCGCACCTCACAACCGTGTGTAATAGTCGCGCGTAATGACCGCTCCTCGTCTGCACGTCTTTGACGTTTGTCTCACTGACAGGTGGAGAGCCTACAGACAGGTACCCATTAGCTACAAGTCGCTCCGCCACAACCGTGCGTAATAGTCGCTCATAATGACCGTTCCTTGTCAGTTAGACTGCACGTCTCTCATGTTTGTCTCACTGACAGGTGGAGAGCCTACAGACAGGTACCCATTGCTCCGCCACTGACTGCCCTTGTCCTGTCCTCTCCCTCTTCTTTCTCTCCTGTCCTCTCTATCACTAAACTCTGAACTTAATCATTAGCTTTTAGCTTAGCAGCACTCGTAATTGAGTAGGCTTCTGAACAATGCAGGAGAAGTGTTGCAGACAGTTTATATCATCAGCCTGGGCCTGGGGCTTGTTGTAACAGTAAATGGGATGTGTTGTAACTTGTGTAAGTTAAACTGTGTCTGTGTGAGTGAACATCTTACCCTGCGATGCGCGATGTGGACAGCCGGGTCCAGCCACACACTGCTGCTGCTGCCAAGCAGCCCCGCCCGTTGGAAAGAGTGTAGGATATACCACTACTAGGAATGGGAGGGGGGGACTAAATCTTAAGATTTAGATAGCACATTATTGCGCGATTATAATGAGCACCGCTTACATTGTGCCTTCAATAAATACTACTGCATTGTTCAAAAATTATTAATTGTGTCTCAAATTATTCTAGGGGGGGACAGCTTTACTGAAGGGGGAGTCATGTCCCCCCTGTCCCCCCCTGGTTTTCCGCCTCCCAAGATGCCACCCGCTTCATACAAGGTACATTCTTCCATCTCTACATGGGACATAACCACATTCATATCGAATCCATTTGGACTATCTGACTTTGGTTTGCCTTGCAGTTTCTGGCAGCACTGTCACACTGCTGGAGCCACCAACACACATCATGGCTGTGTCAAGAATGTCACTCTATTTATGAAGATGTGATCATGAGATTTTGTATTGACAGGTGAATTCTCTGGTGTGTTGCTGGGGGACAGGGGGTATCCTGCCAGCCTTTTCTCCTCACACCATACACAGACCCTCAGGAAGCACAGCAGGCCTATAATCATGCCCATGCCAGGACAAGGGCCAGGATCAAAATGACCTTTGGCTTCCTGAAGGCATGCTTTCACTGTCTTAACCACTTAAGGGTCAGCCCTTTGAGGGCATGTGACATCACTGTGGCCTCTGCTGTCCTCCACAATGTGGCCTGCCTGAGGAAGGACAGGCCCCCAGAGTGCCATCACACATGGACTGGGACAATCCTGCCATCTTCCCTGATGACGGCAGTGGTCGGCTGGTCAGGGACCAATATGTGTTAAATTATTTTAGTTAGAATGCATGCTTTAAATTTCAGTTAAATATGTCCTGCAGTGGCAGAGACCAGAGCAGGTGAGCGGAGCAGAGCGGGTGAAAATTTCCGCTCCTCGCTTGCAGACCTGTCACTTTGTGCCGCTCGTCCGCTCCGCTTGGTTCTGCGCATTCTTCGCTCCGCTCCATCATAAATTTTATCCCGCTCCACTCTCTCACCACTCTGCTCAAAAAAACTGCGTCGTACTACCCTAACCTGTAATCTTCTATTCACAAATAAAACATGAGCTTGGTAGATTCTCCGGGGAAGTCCTCTCCCCGCAGTTAGGGACCGTTCTACACGGTACCGTTGGCAGGATGGAAATAAGTCAAAGTGTGGAGGAAACGGACCGGGTTAAGCGGCTGACCTCCGGGGAAGCTCTCACGCCTCTCCCCGCAGTTAGGGACCGTTCTCCAAGGTACCACTGCTTCTCTTCTCAGTTTCTTTTCTGAAGTAGCTACACAGTAAACTCCATAGTTTTGAAAGAAAATATGAGTGCCGTAGCATTGTTTCGACCTCTCATTGTTTCGACGTCCCGTTGTTCCGATAGGTGATTATTACTGTATTTGTGTACCATAGAGGATCAGCAACGCAACAAAAGTAGGCTACTGGTTGAGATACAAGTGCCATAGAGAGGAGAGAGTGAAACACCATAATCCTCTTGTTATTAACTCTGGGGTCGGGGTTGTGTGGGGAGCTCTCAGCGGTGCTGAATGGCTCCCGGTGGGCGTATTTCTGCTTTGATGGTGCGCCGCGACCGACTCTGGGTCAGCTGGGAAAGGCTTGAGGCAAAGCAGGCTCACAGCTTATGTGTTTGCCACTTTCTTTTTCATTTTAACCCACACCATGATCTTTTCCTAACCCTAACCAAGTGGTTTTTGTGCCTAAACCTAACCAGACCTTAACCACAGGGCATCATGATGATTTCGGAACAACGGGACTTCGGAACAATGGGTTTAATATGGTCGGAACAATGGGATGTTGGACCAATAGGCTGTCGGAAAAATGGGCAGTCCCCGAAAATAGTGTGGGCGTGCGCAGGTGCAAATATGCATTCTGGGTGGGGCATGAGCGACTGGAGCGAAATTGCAGGGAGAGATAAGGCTGTGCTCCACCTTTTTAAAAAAATAGCTGCTCCTCGCTCAACACAAAATCCTCCCGCTCCGCTCACATGCTCTGCTTATGTCATAACATATCACGCTTTCCACTATCCCGCATTTGTGCAACCGGATCACGGAAAAGTTGAGCCAGGATAACCAAGACATCCCGGCTTAATCCCTTATCCTAGTTTTGTGCAATAGGCCCCAGGTTGACTGATCCTGAGCTTCACGGCGAGCACCAACAGACATCATCAGTAGAGTGCAGATAACATGATTCTCAGAGACAGGAAGCAGAACTTGTTTCATCCCAACTGAATCTGAGATCTTAATGACGTGAATGAAGACATGAACATTTTTTTCCATCAGCTGCAGCTGAACATCATGAGGTGTGATGGGAACAGACTGCAGAGTTAATAGGTAATGTGAGGTGATGTCATGTGATGAGGTCATGTGTCTAACATACAGAAACATGTTTCTATCTTAACAGTGTTCATATATTTGAAAATAAATTATACAGCTGTAATGTGATGGAGCCCAAACACACTGGGCACAAACTCAACATCAAACACACAGATATTAAACAGACTGGTAAAAGTTTTGTTTCTACTGACTTCATTCTGTCAATATTAGGCTGAGGTTCATTTAACTGCTGTGAAATGACTTCATGTAATCTCCTTTATTCTCACATGGAGCTATTATGGGATGTTGAGTCCCATCAATGAGCCAGTTACACCGCGGAGTCTTTGAATATATGAAAAGTATTCATGAATCACTGCATCATGTGTCCACGTAGATTCATTTCTCATCAACACTGACAAACCTGCAGTTCTTTTTTTAAACATTATTTTTGGGCTTTTGTTGCCTTTAATGTCAGGACAGCATAACGTTATGGGGAGAGAGGGAACGACATGTAGCACAGGACAGCAGGCTGGGTTTGAACCCGCGGCCGCTGCATCAGATCACGGGGCGTCCGCTCCATCCACTGAGCCACCGATGCTCCGTGGTAATTACTTTAATAATGGATTGTGATTTATGTCCAGGGAAAACCACAACAAGGGTCCAAAGTCTTTTCAGAGCCAGAGACACTTTTCTTACGGGCCGACAAACCGCTGTCTCTCTGATGTGTTCAGTGTCTCTGATGTTATAAAGAAAAGAATCAAAGGACAATGCATAAAATGTGCTGTGATGATAATGTAAA